CATTCATCCATTCATTTTCTAACCCCTTCATCCAGTTCATCATTATGGGGGAGCTGGGGCCTATCTGAGCAAGTAACAGCTGCAAGGCAGGCTACACTCTGGATGGGACGGCAGTATATCGCAGGGCAGAGACACAGACATGCACATACATCCACCTAGGATATGTAATATCCTAATATTAACCATGTGCCGCAATGAATGGGAATGAAAGAATTTAAATCTCTGCAAGTACACTTACATCTTACCTTCTTAAACATGCCTTTCCTGGATCTTTTCCGGATTTTTCAAGCAGCCTGAGATGTTCTAATGAATGTTACCGAAAATTAAAATTATTATAGTTGCCTGGTATATGTACAGTTTTTTACCATAATGATTTGACTACATCATTATGGTAAAAAAGGAGCCACTTGTTTTCACAAAGTGTTTTGGGAACAAGCTCTTCAGCCTTGTTGTCAAAGCGGGTATTATTTCAGGAAACCAGTTGAAGAGGTCCTCAGCTCATTTAACTACTATCATCCAGAAAAGGTAGGTGGGTCAGATAGCCTTCTCTCAAATATAACCTTTTTTTTGTTCAATACTATTTCACTCACGGTTGTCCAATCCTAGTCTTGGGGGGCTTGGTTTATCTGCAGGTTTTAACTCTTGGACATTATTAATGACTTTAAAGATCTTCTTCTAGCTTTTCAAGTGCTGCTGCTGCTCTGAAGAGACTAGAGCAGTGGTTCTTAAACTTTTTGGACTGAGTACCACCCATGATCAAACCAACGCATTACCTACCAACATGAGCGCGTGTGCGTGTGTACGCACGCACGCTTATAATAAATATACCACTGAGCACTTGGTCAATTTGGATCGTACCGCCTTGTAGCCATTTTCTGACGCTTGCTCACATGAGCAGTGCCGTCCCAAGAGCACTTTAAGAAATACTGGACTAGAACATGTCCAGACACACTGACCCCCCCCCCAGGAGCAGAATCGCACAACCGTGGCCTTGCCTCTAGAAACTGAATGAGCTATATGAGCTGCACGGCTTCCTCTTATTTGTCAACGCGTAGTCTTCACATCTCGCACAGTTGTTCACTATATCGAGTTTCTTTTTTCAAAACCTGGAAGCTTATTTTTATACAATGCAGTACTGCTCCACCCAGACTAATTTATTCTTTTAGTGTAGTTCTTTTGAAGAACAAACAATCTGTAAAACTGTTTTTCCTGGGGTGATATTTGTCATCAAGTTTAAATAAAATCTCACAGATTGATATGTCTTCTTTAGGAATATGTCTATTAAATGGATTTATTAGCTTTGACGAACTGGCTGACGTGAAGATATTGTTGAACATTATTGAGTGACATTACAGGTTTTTCTTGAAACATGAAAACGGTTAAGACGGCATTGAATTGAGTTTTTATAACGAGCTTACTTTAATCACTTTAAGTAGAGGCTGCCCCCCAAAAAACACTTCGCCAATGATTGTCTATTTTAGGTTTCTAATGATATACTTTCACGTGGAAATCTATTTTATCACAATCTTATAATAAAACAATAACAAATATTGATTAAACAGGTCTTTAATAATAACTAGGATGCATTAATGATCATAAAATAAATGTAAACATCTTTTTTTTTTAATCACAAGAAAGGACATAGTATATTTCTGCATTAAAACTGTTCACCTTAAACTATAAATCGATAATATTTCAGTAACAGTTTTTCAAAAAGAATAGTTTTTTCCATTGAAACTGAGTTTTTCTCTTCCTTTTCTTTTGAAGCAAAGCTTATCACAAAGCAATACTTTTCTTTTAAAATTGCAAATATTTTAAAGAGAGTTGTTAAAAGTATTGAAGGCTTTTGGCCACTGCCTTTGGTGGGTTTATGTTTGAAAAGCTTGCCCAAGAGCTTCTGTATCAGCAGATCAGCTGGTCAGTGTGGTCCCAGGAAGTTTCCTCCAATATGGTCTACAGGAGAAAGATGGAAACAAATAGAAAATGCAGTCATTTAGGGTGCCTTTTGTAACATGTCTTTGAATCTTATTCCAAAAAACATTTTTGCACCGTTTTGTTTCAAGCATGAAATGAATGTGTTCACCAAACTCACATGTGGTATAATCGTTGGCACTACTGTACTGTACCTGGTGGCATGTGGATCAGGCTGAATCTATAAAATCTGTTGCCACAAATTGGTAATATGAGTAAATCATCACAGAATTGGCCATCAGATTTTGTATGTAAATGTTCTCAATATTAAATCTTGGAGCACAAGTGCTTAAACAACATATTGGGAAGTCAACAGAGCAACCAGCAGATGAGTCTCATGAGTGTTGGTGATGATACACAATTGCATGAAAATTATGAAGTATCTTCTATATTTATCGGTTTAAAAATTGAGAGGTGACTATACCTTAGATTTCCTATTTAAAATTAAACATTTGTTTAAGTTTTAAAAAAAATCTACAACTATTTGCAAAACATAGGATGTGGATGTCTAAATTTCTAAGTCACAGGGTGGTGAACTCGCAGTATGAGATTTTAAAAAATATAGCAGTTCAGAAATATTTTAAACAAGATTTTCTGTACTTCGTGGGTTATTTGTTTAATCAATTAATGTGTTGAATCCTTAATGCACCAAGTAGCATAAAATATGACTGTCTTGTAATCTGGGTAAAGAATACAATATTGCAATGAATACTGTACATATTACAAATACTAGTCATAAGGAATGATTAAGAAAAATATTTTTACAATTTAAATGAATACAGCAAGACATTCATGGCTTAGAGTTCATCTGTTGTGACTTATGCTAAGATAAGAAAGTCAATGTAAATAGAGAACTAGAGAATCGAATGGCATATAATTTATACTGTATATGTGCTTTTATAATGATCTTATTAATAAAATAGCCTTTAAGCATTCTAAGGGGAATTTAATTACAGTGCCAGTACTTTTCTATTTCATTCACTAATCATGTTATAAATGTACTTTATGGGTTTTAGTTTTCTTCATGACACATTTTGGGGGTGTTTTCCATATTAATAAGCAAGCTACACACATTTGGATCATGGAGCCTGATGGAGAAAATTAGTTATTGAATGTAAGAGGGCAGTATTTTCAAAGAAAATGGCACATTTTATCAAAGGAGGAATTGGAGGAAAACAATTTAAAAACCAAGAAGAGGAGGCTTTAGGAGATCTGTTGGTGCCCAATGTTCCCCTTCAGAGGGAGGAAAGAAGGACTGATTGGCTTGTCCTATGGTCATGGATTTGGTAGTTTAGGAGTTAAAATAATTTATTTTTTTTGTGCTTGTAAGCAGCTTAGTTGTCTGGCTATTATAAGAAAGGGCATATAAAGCGCACTGACCCCAGGCACTCTCCCTGTCTGTGTGTCTCATGGAGAGCAAGCTGGGTATGAGAAAAGATCATTCCTAATGCAAGAAATTGTAAAGCGTTAATAAAGTGATGTTGTTGTTGTTGTTGTTATAAAGAAGACTTTTAGGGCTTTGTTTGTCTTGCATAAACAGAAATCTCCTAATTTAAGAGGTATCCACTATACCGTCAGTTGTGTTGTACTGCATATTGTGGGTTTTTTTGGCATAGATTACAGTTTTGGGAACAATGCACTCCTGAAATGATCAGGATGATTTTTTTAAAGGTTCTTTTTGTGAATAAAAAAAAAGAAAGAAAGAAATGTCTACATTTGGAGTGAGTAAGCAGTTCTATGAATCCACTCCAGCTGAAGACAGAAGGCAGGAAGTGACTGTAAATTATTTTCGATTCCTAGCAGTCCTCAAAAACTTGCTACGGTCTCTTAAAACCCTCACATCACTATACAACAATCATTTATATTAAAGATCAAAAGAAACTTATCACTTACAGTATTATTGCAGCAAATCTGTTTGTGGCAGGTGCACTGGAATTTTAAGAGAAGATGCGAACCAGATAATGTCCTTCTGCTCCTCAACATTTGTCAGAAACAAGGTTGATCAACAGGAGGTCAAGCACTTGTGGCCACTGTGTACACGTGCGCTGTCGCTGAAAGTGTATGAATACAAGCTGCTTTGTCTTGTTGGTTTTATATTCTTTCCTTCTTTGGAGCCTGGACAAGCATGTATGTTCCATAAATGTTCAGTGGGTGAAGTCTCGTGAAATTAGTGCCACACTCTCATCTTGTAAGAATGCAGTGACGCAAGCAGCACGCAGATGTGCGTTATCCTGACTTGACAGCATTCCAGAAGGAGCAGCTCACGCAAAGCACAGCAAGTGAAGCTCCAGAGTTGTTCACTGTGGTACCGTGCAATCAGGTTGCCATTAATTGGTAAAAGTAGAGTTACACAGTGAATACACATATCCACCCACACCATCACACATGGGTCTCTTGTACGCAGAACTTGGCAAATCCTTCTGTATTCCCTCATGCCCATTGTGCTGCTCTACACACAACCTGACTCATTTCTAAAGAGGAGTTTGGTTCATTGAGGTTTTGCCCCAATATGCCAATGGCACAACATAGTTGCTCCATTTAGAAGCAGGGCATAGCAGAAACTTCCTGTATTATTGTCAGTTTTCACAGGTCTGTTCATGATTTTAATTGCCTTACCTGTGCCACATCAGCTCATTAACTAATGAGGTGATTTACTGTAAGTGCTTATTCAGCAGTTAAAATCACCATATCACAGCTAGTCATGAGATATCAATTAATCAAAATGATGCCAGCAGCATTTAGTTAATAACCCAAAACCATCTACTTTTGACTATTGAAGTATTTTGACAATGAGAACTGTGAAGAATTGTGACTAATGGTTCTTGCAGTCCATTTAATTACAGAAGAGTGTGTATTTTATGTACCGTATGTCACCTATTACAATATAATATTTCCTAAGGACAAACATGAAAATGCTAATACACTATATGATTTTTATGTTATATATTTAAAGTGAATACACATCCTAACCTTTTAGATCCTTCAGTGTTACCCACCTAACCACTAATTCTTATTGTTTTTATTCCTAGTGAATAACCCAATTCCATCAAACTTGAAGTCTGAAGCAAAAAAGGCTGCCAAAATACTCAGAGAATTCACAGAGATTTCGAGCAGAACTGGCCCTGACAAACTCATACCTGGTAGGAACAAATCTTTTTTTTTTTTAATGTCGGAAATATTTTCCATAGAGGATAACCTTTGTGAATTATGGAAATTGAGGCCAATAACTTCTGACATCAAACACATAAACATGTTTATTAGCGCATGTTGTTAGATTTATTGCCTTGTAGTGTGATATTTAATTGTCTGAGAACAGGGAATGAACTTTATTTTGTTTAGCATTCTTCTATACAGAAGACAATAATCTGAAGTCTTTTGCTTGTTTTTTTTACATAATTTAAATTAAGTACACCAAGATAAATAAAGAAGAGAAGCATAACTTATTTTACTTATTTTTTGTAGGAATCTTATTTATCTCAAACCAATTCTTTAACATTTTTTTAATGTCTAAACAGTCACAGTTAAACAAGCATTCCTACATCAAATGGAAATGCATGTACTGTGCACATCCCACAATAAACTCAAGTTTTCAATAGATGCTGTTCCTCACTAAGTACTGAATATTTGGAAAATGCTTGTGCATACAGATAGACATTCCTACAAAATGACTGCAAATTTGTACAAATGAATCCCACTTCATTTGCCACTGGTTTGTTTTCCTAGTGCTTCAATATGACTTTTGTATCTTTTATAATAGAGATCTTATTACTTGACCCTCAGATTTTCTGTGAATATAGTATGGGCCTATACCAAGCTTAATAACTTGTTTTATAACTAGTATCTCTAGCAGAACATCAACAGCAATAGCTATTCTACAGTATCTTTGCGGGTTTTGCAAATTTAACATTTTTGCCCATTAAAGTCTTCAGTTTCAGCATTCAACATTTGATTAAGAATATGCACTTTAAAAATGTATTGTTTGTAATTAACCCAAATGAAACATCATTGGAAGGAGATGAATGCTTTTGCAAGTCTCTGGATGTGTATGAAGTACAGTAAATTTTGTTCCATCTTCTTTGCGTTCCTTGTAGAGCTTCATTTCTTTCCCTGTGTCCTTTCAGCTCATGTGATTGCCAAAGCTCAAGGTCTTGCCATCATATCGGTGATAAAAGCTGGGTTTATGATCACCGCTCGTGGAGGAAGTGGGATTGTAGTGGCCCGTCTTCCAGATGGACGTGAGTTTAACATTTTTCTCTCGGTGCTTCTAATTCTTTCCTATTCCAGTAGGTTTCATTGTTTATGTAGGCAGATTTAGACCCACTTTCTAAAAATTACAATTTGAAGAACAAATATGTCTTGAATCATCTTGGTTACACTCATATAAGGGTGCTTTTCCCCAATTATTTGGAATTTGCTTGCTGTAAGGTGACTGTTTTATTTCCAACTTTACCTTTCAAGTTAGATATTGCCCACGCCTCCACCACAATGTAGAAATCCACTTTGTCCAATGCTCTCTTACAAAGTGACTCGCACTAGTCTTGATCTTAATGTGAAGGGATCATTAGCAGGTACTGGGTATAACTATTTTTTTGCATTGTGGAGGGAGACTAAGAAGATTTCATAAAAAAAAAAAAATAAACATGAAAGAAGAATAAGCTTCAAGTCAACCCCTAAAACCCCCAAAAATAATATGCAGTGATGTTATAGTGTTATATAAAGGTAGGATTAGGGTTGGCTTTAGAGGTTAAATAGGCATGGCACGGTACACCATGATAGGACACCAGTCTATCACCGAGCAGACGCACAGATGCGCACACACTCACAACCAGGGCCGGTTTTCCCCATATTATAACCTACAGTGTGTTTTTGAACTGTGGGAGGAAACCAGAGCATCTGTAGAGGAAGGAGAACATGCAAACTCAATGCAACGTGTGCCACAGGACACCAGGGCTGAAAGGCTACTACGCTAACCTCTGTGCCATTGTGCCATCCTCTTAGGTAATATCTTCAAAATAAAATGACAAAAATACAATTTTAGAAACGGCAAGCACATAAGATGCGAAACACAAAAATATATTTTGAGAACACATACATCTTGGGTGAGTTTCCGAGCCAAAAACACTCCACCCAGTTTTCTCCATTCAGTTTCTCACACTGCCACGCCTGAATACACTCTGAGGTAGACACAGATGTTCGAAAATAAAACTGTTTTAATTAAATCCTTATTTTTAAAAAAAAATATTACTGCAGGATCCAAATTACGTCCACACCCTAAACTGATACTTAAACGAGGGAATCATTGCTTCCTACAGTATATCAAAATGCATCCAAATACGAACATGAATGAAAATGTCTGTCTGGATAGTTAAAAATGAAAGATGTATAGTTCCTCAAATATGAAAACGCAGCTTGTTTCCATAATTGCATCTTTCTTAAAGTCCTTTTTGGTATCCAATACAATATACTGTAGGTTTCCGCTCATTAACTAGGAAACCAAGTGATAAGGATAAACATGCAATTGCGGAACATGCTCACACTGGTTTCAGACCACTCGTGACCCTACCATGGCGTGCAGTGTGGGTCCCATGACCCTGGCTTTCTCATCCAGAAAATCCAGTCTGTAAAGTTGACAAGCATGTCCACACGGTCTCGGGCTGCTTTTCTGTTCAGGTAACACTGAGCTGCTAAGACACTCATCCCCTCTCTCTCTAGTAGTTCAAATAAATCGGATGCTGCTTGGGATAATGGAAAATCACCAATCTTTACATCTATAATCGGCACATAACATTGCACATCAAAGTGCAAGAAAGGCATTAAAATCTCAGATAAGAAATTGAATGTACATGTTAATACATTAATCGACTTTTTTGCACAGTTTTTATTTAAGGTGGGTTACAATAGGATAGAGCTGTTTAGGCTGAAGACATGCATCCTTTTTTTTTTTTTTAAATGTCCTCTTGCTCTCGGTGGCTGTATAATATTAAGGTTAAGATAAGGGGAATTAATAGAAAGCAAATAAAATATAGAATGGAACCCCATTAACTCTTTGTAGGTTAATGAGATACCTCTGAAAAATACAACTTTATTTTTCAGTTGGTTTATCAATTACTGTATCTAGTCAATGTGAGGATGTAACGGATGTCTCCAAAAAATATTATCTAATCAAGGTAGATAATGTTCAAATTCCGCAACTCTGTAAGCGGTCTTATTTAGAGCATCTCGTCCATCTCTGGTCACAGTACTTATTTTGGCTCCCCTTATTAGATTCTGCTTGTGTTTCACTCACAGCACTGCTTGACAGTGAGAAATGTCAACTGAAAAATACTTTGTAAGTCTCCTTCTTCTTTCAGACCTGCAGCAACAAAACAAATAACCTAAATGCAACAGTTTAATCTTGGTGGATTAAAAAAAAGAATCTTGGCTGTAGTTAGCTACTGTTAGGGTCATATAACTAGCATCTCTGACTCATAGCAATGCTTTTTATAGCACAAGGATGAATTTCTAGTGGTTCAAATAGGTTTGCTGACATCAGAATGCTCCATAACATTGAAAGGATAATTAACAGTTGAATAAATCTGGTAATATCGCCAGTATGAAAAAAACAATTAGAAAACAGAAGTGTCCAGAACAGCTTTTCCTTGAAAACATTTAACATTCAGTTTGAATTTTGGAAAAATTGTAATGTTTAGCATATTTGAAAAAGATTTAAAATCTGGACACTGCAGCCTTTAATTACTTCAACTACCATATACATTTTAGAATTAAAATGTGTTGTGGATTGTCAAGAATCCTAACAAAAGTTTTTAATTACCTTGGGTCACGAAACAAGAACCTGAAACAACAGTAAGATATAAGCTGTTGTTTTTCTTAAGAACCTTTAATTGAGTTAACCTGCTACTGAAGTATATGCAAAAAGATTTGAAACTAGTTAATATAAGTAAATTTCTCATTACCATGCCGCCCACCACAAGAATAGAATTTTATTAATAAAGGCTTTGAAGTTAAAGACAAGGAGATACAGTGCAGAAGAAATTAATGATTCTCCACATAAATTAACAACCTCCTTTACTCTGGGCACAAAATTATCATAAGGACTGTGTCCCCTTTGGTAATATGTGAATGATGTTCTTTGCTTTCTTCTCTGAATCATATACAGTTACTTATGATTTGTTAGCACTGAACTAATTGCAGACCTCACTCAGTACCTACTAAAGTACAGCTTCCCTGAACCACATAGCAAGCTAGACTGGGTTGTAGGGAAACTGTGGAATAACCCATTCTCTTCTCCTTGTAGACATGTTGTATTTTCATCCCTTGTACATGTATTTAGTTTCATTTATGGAACACTTAAAGAAAATGTTCATCCATCCGTTTTCTAACCGGCTCATCCAATGTAGGGTTGCAGGGGCCATATCCTGGCAAGCAGGAGGCTCCAGGTAGATCCGGCCCTGGAGGGGTACCGGTCCATCTCGGGGGGGCCCATGCAGACATTTACACTCGGACAAGGGCAAAATGTTAACTGGCTTCTGGAAACCTCCCGGCGTTGTTTTTGGACTGTGGGAGAAAACTGGAGCTCCCGGGGGAAATCCGCACGAACACGACGAGTACAGACTCCATGCAGATGGCACTTCTAGGTTCACAATTGAACCCAGGGCTCCAGCACGGTGAGGTTGCCATGCCAACCACTGCGGCACTATGCCACTCTTTAAAAAAAAAAAAAAACAAAATAAAAATTTCGAAGTAATAATTATTAATGTACAAGGTATGCATTAAAACCACTACTTCTCCCCCTCCCCCCTTAATGTTCTTACTTTGTACCTTTTTGCCCGTTGTATTTGTGTACTTTTAAAGGGTATTTCCTTTTTTTTTTCTTGCGTTAGGGTGGTCAGCTCCTTCTGCGATTGGCATTGCAGGTCTTGGTGGTGGATTTGAAATAGGTGTGGAGGTAGGTTGCTTTGTTGTTTGAATTGTTTTCTGATCTAAGGGGAGAAAAAAAGATGTCAGATGGTAAAAGTAAACACACCTTTCTGTTCTTAAGAGCTTTTAAGACTTTTCATTTGTATCACTTTCTTTAGAACTGAAGAATGTAGTGTAGCGAAATATTGGGCTGTTCAGTCCATGGAAAAGATGTCCGAGTCCTGGGGTCTGGTCTTTAAAATTGTAAATGAGTTTTTAAAAATAATTTTAACATTACTGCTGATGATTTTTAGAGAAGCCCAAAGCATTGGTGATGGTTGATTTTGCCTCACATGCAGTAGCTGTAAAATGGCTTTTTAAAATTATAAGGAGACTAGCTTGCAGTTTTTTATAGTATTTTAAGAGAATAGAATAATGTACTGTATCTCCTAGATGAATTTTTAATTTCACAAGTGAATAGGAAAATATTGCCTACTCTTAGGAATACATCATTACTGTTACGTCCCAGTGTGTGGTTAGTGTGTGTTTTTATGTTCCACACTGCTGACCTTTGATTGTTCTCATTCCCCCACTTTGTTCTCCCTCCCCCATTGGTCCATCATTACACCACTGTTTCAGTATGATGTCGTCATCATCAATCAGCTTCTCAGCCAATCAGAGTGCATATTATTCAGTATATACATGGAGGTTTTCAGAAGGAAGGGGCCTTTCGTTTGACTTTGGTTTTCGCTTCGCTTTTGATTTTGCTTCGGCTTTGTTGGTTTGTTGTTTTGCTTTGTGTGTGTATGTGTTCGTGTAGTTTTGTTGGTTTCTGTTTGTTTCTTTTTCTTTTTTGTTTGTTTGTTATCCTTATTTTGCCATAACCTTGCCCAAACTTGTTATTGTATCAACCTCTGTGTTCTTTTGTACCTTTTTACTTGTCTACTCTCGTTTGTATTCATAGTTCACTTGTGTATTTGTGTGATCTCTTGTGTATTGGGTTAGTTTAGGTTGTTGGGTACACTTTACACACATACTGTAGTTGATTTTTGTATTAGTCACACTAGTTTAGTACGGGTGAGTGCCGTTTGTCTGGTATGGTTTTGGGTAGTCAGTGGAGGTTAGCTAGGGTGTTGAAGGCGCCGAAGACCGTGTGTTTCGGGTTTTCTTTTGTAGACAGGTTAGCTTTCCCTCACTGTCCTAGCCAGCTCCATTTTGTTTCTTTTCTTTTCTCTGGCACCACTCTAGTTCCCTTTCCCTGTATGTTATTGTGTCCAATTACAAACCAGTCACTTATTCAACTTAAACTCATCACTTTTTGCACCAACCCTTGTTATCACGCTTTCTAAGTCCCTCACCACAACCCGCCTGCATTCAAAAACTCTCCTAAATGTTACGCCCCTTTACCCCAAGACACTTAGGGCCGTAACAATTCCAATCGGAGGGACATCTTCTGTCTGAAGATCTTACAATGCAGGAAATCTGAAATTATCTAATAAGTATGACACCAAGCTCTTATCCATAATGACGTGCGGTACTCTTTTCACTGTTCAGATTACCAGAATAAAATATGGTTTCAAGTTGTTTGGAAGGAGAAGCTCTTCCAGAGTGCATGTTTTGATGATGCTGATAATGACGCTGAATGATGATTTTCTCTTCTTCTCTCGCTGTTCTGTCTCCTTTCTCTGTATTTCTGTTTCTGTATGTACAGTATTTTATGGTCCATTCCTGTGGTAGCCACTTTAATGAGCTCACTGCAAATGGCTCGGTCGCTGTTGAATGTTAATCCTTTAATATGGGGGTCTTAATAACTTACTGTAAATTATTAGAACACCTTTTGATATGGAGTTCCTCTTGGCCCAAGAATGGCAACAAAAATAGTAAATAATACCGACTGCTCCAAACCTTCTGATTAAGGGAATCAACCTAGGAAGTGCAAATGTTGCTAACCTTTCTCAAACTCAGCTGCATCCTTCCCTTCCCAGTCACAACAATATGCCTGGGTAGTTCCATGCTTGCAGTGGGTCATATTTTAAAATAAAAACATACTTTCCAAACAACCTAGGGATTTCAAGTGACTATAAGTCTAGGGACACATTCAATTTAAGTGCATTTCAGAGTGTAAAAGTCAGGAGTTATTACAGATCCCTTTGAGCTAATAACTCCATGAAGTCTGACCTATTGAATTTGCCAAAATCATTATTTAATTGCCCAGGCTTTATTGCAGTCACTTTCAATTCTTGCCTGTTCTTGGCGGTTCTGATTTCAAGTTTTTCTTCCCCTTATAAAATGCATCTTGTTTTGGATTTAAAACTAGAGACTGACTTGGTCAACGTAAGGTTTTCTTTTTTTCACCTGATTAAATTCTTGTTTGCATTAGCTGTGCATTTTGGATCATTGTCCTGCTGCGTGCCAATGAGCTGTGAAAGAAGTTTCAACTGCTTGCAACTTTTCAAATCAAAGTTAATCAAATGCACAACAATACAGCGTGCAGCAGTAGTTGCTGGCAATGAAATGTCTTTTCTGCGAGCTCACAAGAATCGCAAAAATCACAAAATTAAGGTTACAATCACAAAATTAAGGTTACATAATAATAGATGTAATAGAAATTGAATAAAGCTCAATATGAATAGATATTCATATCTTGTTATAATGTTCCTAGCAAATTCTCATATTGTGGACTAGCCTGTGAATTTCTGCTGTATGAGTAGTCTGTGAAATTTGGGTTTTGATACCTGTGATACTCCTGCACTCTGGTGCTTGTTGGTTATATGACAGTAGTTTTAGTGTTCTCATTGAGAGCCTTAATACATTTTTCTATTGTCAACGTATTTTTTTCTTTGCTGACCCAGTCATGGATGATAATTACAACTGTTTTTTTTCTTTCAAAAGTATAGTACAAAATACTGATTTTGGAGTTTTTCTTTCGGCTTCAGAATTGCCTACTTTTAGTTTGGGTTTTCATTTTTACTTTAAATTAAAGACTCCAGAGTTTTCAGTCATAGCGGCAAATGATTAATTGGATTTTATGGGATGCTGGCAGCTTTTTTATGACACCAGGCCATCCAGAGACACCTGTCAGCTAATTATCCCAGTAACATTTCTCCTTCATAATAAAGAGATTCATCCACTATGAAGTTCTTCAGTTAAACCAAAGGGTTAGAATTGCATAGATTTTATTAAATATAAAATAATTAGGAGTTGTACTTATCAGTAATGTTTTTTATATGAGAAAAGATTATTTCATAGTGAAAATCCCATTTGCTTTAATGTTCCAATACTTTTGGAGTGCACTGCAACTGGTAATATGACCTGAACAAGATTAAACATTGGCCTCGGTTCACTATTTTTAGCTGTGCTTATGCTACATGATTAAAATAAGTATTCCCTAACAGTAGTACTAATGTTAAGTGATTCATTAAAATAATGATAATTCCACTTTATGCTGCTGACAATATATTGTTCCCTTCTGAAATTTCTTACTCAATTCCCATTGGTTTAAATATTTTTGATAATTTTGTACATTTTCTGGGTATAAGAATGTCATTAAGTCTTTGTTTTTCCTTGTATATGTATTAAATTGTGATTTTATCTTAAATATATTTTCTTCACAAAGAAACACATTGGGCCCTACGGTACAATATATTCAAAACACCTATGTTTCCTGTAACCTTAAAAAGTAATGGGAATTATAGTATTTACTGCAGTTATTTTGAATGTCCCCTTCTGCTAAAATCTCCTCACCTACGTAAAGGTGACAATTGGGATAGCTGTCTCTCTGTGATTTGAGTTTTCATGTAATCAATGTCACTTAAATCTAGGTCATGTGTAATTTGGATTATTTAGCAGGAGACAAACCTAACAGCTTTGTTAAATGTGAATTGTAGGTGTTGATTGTTAAATTATAAAAAATTTAATTTTGAACAGAAGGAAAACAGATGGAGAAATTACTGAAAATTATATTCATTGTGATAAACAGCAGTCGGATATTTCAGTTAGTGTACCAGCATAATGAATCAGAATGATTACTGATAAATAGAAAAGTTCAGATAATTAACTACATGATCTCATCCAAGCTCCAATAGTAACAGCTTGGTAAATTTATATATTTGTTCACACTGAAACTCAATTTGTGTTTTATGAGTCATAAACACACCACATGAAACAAAGGACTGCTAAATAACTTTAAAGCCTCCCATAAAACCGACTACTGTGTCAGTAAAATAGGTGTCCTCAATGACAAAACTGTAGAATTTCTGTTTTGCCCCAAGGATTTTAATTTGTTTCAAAACATTTGGTGGGTTTTTGTTTTTGTTTTTTTCCAGAGGTGCGGTTTTGTCAAACTTCTTTGAACTGATGTATACAACTTACAATTTAAAAGTCTTCTTTTTAAGTTGGGAAAATAGTTACATTTTTCATATATCTTTATAGAGAGCTGGTCCAGTGCCTTATAACTCCTGTATGCAATTTGTGCAGCTGAATTAATGTGAAAAAATGTATAATAAATATGGGGGTGTGTAAAGAACTCTTACTGACTTATTTACTTATTTATAGCCTTGATAAATTTATGCGTTTTGATAAATTGGAGCACAACACATCACGTATCGGGTTTATGCATTAGATAAAGTGGCCAGGACAGGCTCTGGGTTGCCGTGACCCTTACAGAGAATGAGAGGCTTTCTGAGAATGGATGGATGAAGGAAATAGCAATTGATGGCAATAATAATCTTCTGTGACCTGATGCCAGCAGTGTTACCAGGCAGAGAGTCTGTTGAATAGTAGCCATCCCACAGGTGGATTATCTGAATCTGATTATGATGTTGCTGCTTTGTGACATGAGGTTGATGGCAGAAACTTCCTGTCCGTAGGTAGTGCTCATGGCATCTATTGATATACTAGCAACTTTCTCTGGCCCCATTCCTTTTGTGGATGAATATACTGGACAAACTCTTGAGGGGGGAAAAAAGACCTCTTTATTTATATATTGTTACGTACTTATGAAATAACAAAGATGGGAGGAAAAAAACTTTCTCAAGACGCATGACCTCT